TCATGACGATCTGGTATTATACTTATGTTCTTAAATTTCGTTAAAAGTATTACTTAAGCATTTCATACTGCATTTTTATATATTTTTACTATTGTTTGAGTTGTGGTTCTCATCCTTGTGCTCATTTCGTGACCGGTTAAAGTTCTATACAACCAGTTGTTTTGCTTCTCTAGGTCTATTCAAATTTATTTATTTATTTTTCAGTCACCTTTTTTTTCATGTCTTTATCTGTTGTTTCTTTAAATGCTAGAGGGCTCACTAATCTCACTAAGAGAAAGGCTGTTTTCTTATATCTCAAACAATTTAAATCTGATTTTTGTTTCCTCCAAGAATGTCACTCATCAGTAGAGGATCTTAATTTCTGGAGGTCACAATGGGGACTGGACATATGGATGTCTCATGGTACGACACATTCAGCGGGTGTATGCATTTAAAAAAATCTGTTTAAAGGGAAGGTGTTACTCAGTGCAAGTGACATAGGTGGAAGTTGTAAGGGAAACAGGTCAATTTAGCTCAAAGGGAATCATTTAAGATTTTAAAGGGAATTTGGACAGAATAATGGTTTTACGGCTGATCACTGAGTCGGTCAGCGATTTATTGAACGAGCCATATAACATCAACTCTGCATGGATATTAATATCCAAAATATAGTGAAAACACTATTTATTAGCACAGTAACAAGATCGGCAGTTTAAGACATTAACTTGTAAGCAAAAAACACAAGATACTTCTCTTTTCAATATGAATAAGACTTTATTGGATAAATCTAAGACATATAAAACTAATATAAACTCTTTTAGTGTCATTTAGGTGCATGGAAAGGCAGTTTCTGTGCCATTCTGTGAACAAGGACATGTTTTGTGAAGACCAGAGGTTAAGAGGTCTGTAAGGAATCTCAGTCTGTTCTTTGTCTTCTAGGTGGGGGGGGAAAGTCAATCCGAAGAGCTCGTGATCACTATCACTGGTTTACAAGTGACGGTCATGCTGTGCATCTCTTTTGACCATTAATCTTGATTACTTGCCCCAAAATTGACAATCTCCTTGGAATTGTCAATAAGTGTTCTTTTGTTTAAATGCTGTGAGCTACTCAAAGCTGTTAGTTGGTGGGCTTGCTTCAGGCTTGTGGCGCCAGGATCTGATTTACGAACATCCTGTGTCTTGGGCCTCTGTGGAATTCGGCTCCTCGTGTTTCAACCATGTTCTTGATAGAATCTTAAATTGTCTGATTCGGTCTGATACCCTACAAGGAGAAAAAGAAAAACAGGTTATGCAGGAGGGAGATGCAGGGAACAGGGATTGGGTGTTCTGCAAAGAGAGTTGGAGG